AAAATGTGAGGGGCACATTTAAACAAATAAGTAATTTTTTCTACCCCAACTTACTAACAGCTGATTATCCTCACATTACTGACGTGCTAAGTCCTCATTTGGCAATCTATGGATGTTAACTAGTATTTATCTAGTGGTTAGTATTAACTAAAGGAAGATGTACTGCAATGTAGATGAAGCACCAAGAGTGGATTTAACACAAAAAGGAATTTTTAGAAAATTAAAGAAACATTAGCAATGATTTTGAACTCCTTTTCTCACACTAATATTAATTAGGTTCCATATTTAAAATACAATTTTAACTTCCTGTTGCCTGTTGCAAACAAAGCATTCCCAACCTATGCAAATAAATCTTGAGGGCGCTTGTGTTCAAACTTTGCTATCGATCTGCATGATGACAGTTCTTAGAAATCCTAACACTACACTCCCTTAGTAAATATTACACATTTCATGAAAGGCTACAGAACTTACCCAGAAAGAAAAGAACCCTTTTATTACTTTCCATTACTAATTTCACAAAATATGGCTAACTTAAATATGGCAAAAAAACAACTAGCAATTAATCTTAGCTGTTTTGTTTTATCCATCTCGCACAAACTGTATTACAAACACTCCTCATTTCTCATTGTTAAACCTTACAAAATAATAGTTATAAGTAGCTGACAAGAATAGTTAGCAGTTAACTTGAACTAAGAGTACAAAGCTTGCTGTCCTATTGTATGATTTACGAAAATTATCCAAAAGCAACTGTTAATTGCAAATTGAGCAGAAAGCAATAAATTAAAAAACGATTAATTAATATGCATAAATTAACCATATTAAATTAATCAATTAAACAAAAAGGGTCAGTTATTTTCCCACATATTTTAAATAAAACATGAAACTTTCAAATCAAATAATTTTGTTTGTACATATGAAGTGAAAACAAACTATAATAAACCTTCATCATTACACAAATTAGAAACAAGTAATAGTAGACATTCTCATAAAAGAAACAAAAATAGTCGAGTTTAAAATATAAATGTCCTGGAATTTTTTAGAAATGTTGATACCAGCAACTGTAATCCAATGCTGTAATCTATTCAGTACAAATCTAGGGGTAACACATAAATATACCTCTTTGTTAACTCAATCCTGTTGAATGTACCATAACAAAAGCCTAAAGGTTTAGCAAAATTCCTTTTTGTTTGTATTATGATTTTCAGACTTTTTTGACGAGAAGGAATTAAAAGTTTACCATTTTCTCTTTATTTGTGTGACTATTTTAGCTTATCTTGCCTTTTTTACAATTTTGCCTTTTTCTTCATTATTTTTCTTTTTCCTTCTGGCACTGATCTCAATCCAGCTCTGAAGCCTGGACAACACAATGGCACTGTTGCATTTTGTCTTTCTCAGCAAGCAGGGACTCCAGAGGCACAATGTGTTAAAAATTAAATGAGAAAGGAATAAAGATTTTTTTAGACAGTCAATACTAAAAGTAACTCTTTCATGGCATGCCAAGCATGCTTAAAGCTCAATTTTGAACAATAGTGCTAAAAGTGAGACGATGCTCAAGTGTTCTGATAAATCTAAAAGTGCAACAAAGAAAATAAAATACTTACATCTGATCAGAGGGAATAATATAACCAAAAAGAACAAAAAGTCTGTAAGACTGTCTAAAAGATAGTGTATGACAAATATTCCAAAAGTAATTTTATTTTGCTCGTAGGATTGGACCACTAGGCCTAGTGCCGCAATCTTTCCTTTTTGCAAAATAAAAAGTCACTTTAATCATAAATAGCTATTTTATTTTTATTTACTGATGCCAACAGGCTATGTTTCCTCACAAGGATCCAATAATTTAGTATAGCCTCTGGAGATTCCTTTAGAGAATACAGCTCTCTGAACAATAAATACGATGGGGGCCTTCTCAACGTAGGTGTTTACTACAGAACAGATTTTCATGTAAATACATATATTTACAGGAACAAGATAGTTGCATTCAAACAAATATTTTAAAGTTTTCAGGACATTATGAATGAAATAGAACTATTTTTATTTTACATATTTTAAATATTTTGGTATAATTACATATTTTACCTATTACACCATATTTTGTTTAATTTAAAATATTTATACATCAAAACATTTCAGATGTGAGTTTGCAATATACCATGTTACTGGAATCGTCTTTCTTACAAACCATGCAATATGCAACTATAATCTCTGATTCTTCATAATTTGTCAAACTTATTCCTCCCCTCGCTCCTTGAAAATCATGTTCTCAAGTTCAAAGTTGAGCAGATGAACATGTGAAGCAGAAGTAATGTCAACATCATGCTTGCCCAAGTTCTATAGACCCCATGCATGACATCGTAAAAAAACCACAACAAATATTTTTATTTCATTGTCTTATCGCAATACTCGAGTAGACCAGGGGGGGATGTTCGTTCCCCTCACCACCGAGATCCATCATGGACAGTACGGTTCTACACTATTCAATGAGCACCATCTCCTCCTAACAGTGTATACAGTATGAACGTATTTAATATGGCAAAAGAAACAACTGTAGAATTACTTTTGTAGAGGAAGAACTTACTTTCATTCTCTTCAAATCCAATTCTCTCCATGATAAGACCGACTGACAATGTTCTGTGTTCATAAAATGGTTATATAGAGGAATTTTCAACTCTCTATTATGATTTCTTTTACATATTTTCTATTTTGTCTAACATATTTTGGAAAAAATAGTTATATATGTACACGTTTTCCCTTTCTTATTACAATTAATTCCATCCCAAGTGATAACACAAGTTTAAAGAATGACAACTATATTCACATTTTCACTGATTGAATTCCAAAATTCTAAAGGCGTCCACAAGAGAATTGTTGCAAATGAAACAAATTTTAGGACGCCACCAAGAATAACTTCCAACATTGAAACTGACAAATTGTCTTTATGACTGAACAAGTAAAATAAAAAAAACTGGTCGTGTGCAATCAAGATTACAAAGAAAATATTGTGTCAATGCATGTAAAGGCTGATGTAAATCAATCAAAAATACAAAGAAAATAGAATGTCATTGCATGCCTGTTGCAAGGTCTGATGTAAATTTTAGAGTTGAAATAAATATTAAAGTCATTTTAATTATTAATTTTTACAATCATTCATTTTGAATGGTGACTTTTCATTGATTAGATATCTTTTTACACCCCTAACTGAAGCAGATCAAATACCTCTGTCAATTTTAGGTAAAATAAATGCCTGAACGTTCGGGCTCTAACCATAACTAAAATATCACAAGATACAATGACTTAATTTTATCAGTTTCTCTAAAGTGAAATCAATTGCTTATATTTGCCTCTTATTACTTTTTTTGTCAGAGGTAAGTAGATGATGTATTCCATTGCAAAAATGTGTGTCGAATGGGTTATTTTCTTATTTTATTTGTTTTGAAAATAGATATTTCATTTAAAATAATTGAGCTAACTAGAAAAATTAATTAATCAGCATTTTTAATTACAATATGTTTCTAAAAATATGACTTCATATTATTTAAAAAAATAACATAAAAATTCTCATTAGAATTTTCAGACATCAACAAATTTGGTTAGAAATATAAAAATTTGTACACCATCCACCATTTGCTACGTTTAAAATAAGTTGTTAATAGGTCCTGAATATCTCTCAGAGGAGTACATTTCCTTTTCATTTACACATGAAAGTATGGCTTTAAACTTTTGGTAGTTCCGTAAACAGTAGATTTCATGCACCAAAAAATAAAAGATCAACTTTTCATTGCAGTCATTAATTAAAGGTTTAGGGTTATGCAATAAATCAAACAAAACAGTTGTTAATGGAGACATTCTTGCAAAATTAACAAGAAACTTTACAATTCATATTCAAAGAAAATCAAATAACTCTTCAATGTCTTGCCTTGAAATTACTTGTAAATTCATAACAAACAAACTTCCAAAAAAGGCTACAAAACGTTGAACGAACAAGTTTCGTTTTTCGAGAATCTTCACAAAAACTGAACATCAAGACCTGTGATTACCAAGAGATAACTTTCAGAAGACCTCGAACAAAGTATGGCTCATACTTTCTAAAGAAATTGGAATGTCTCATAAATGGAGGAAAACTATTAAGTTGCCTTCCAATATAAAAGGATCCCTAAGGTAAGAGTGAACACGCACAAATCCTTATCTATTACAGAGTTGTAGGCAGTAGAGTACTGCAGGACTCAGTACTGGGTCATCTCCTATTTGCCTTGTACCACATTCTTATGGATGTGGAAAACACATGTTTAGTTGATGAATAAAGATATGGAAACCTCCTAAAACAAACCTTCAAAATTACCTGGATAAAATCACTAAATAGACTAACAACTGATTGCTATCTTTTATACTTCCCCCAAAAACGCAGATTCATTTTGGCAAAAAAAATGTATAACGCCAGCTACTTATTGTACAATAACACAATTCCAGCAACTACATTGTAATTGAAAATGTCCCCGCAAATATCTGACCAGAAATGGAGTACTCATAACACTAACAAACTACAATAACAACAACAACAAAAACTAGTTATATGATATATTTAGTGAACAAATGGTTCAAGAATCTCTCCTGAACACTATACATTAGGATACATACCACAAATCAGGCTAATCCTGAAATTTGCATGCATTAGTTTGGCAAGTTCTGCCATAGAGGTCCTGAGAAAGAATACCAATGAACAACAAAAACACAAGCAAACTTAAGGCACCTTACATATGAAGAAAGACTTGCTTTTTGAATCTACCAACTTTGTAACAGGGATCAATGAGACTTAATTAAAAAACATTTAAAATAACCAACAATAATGATTAAAATCTGTATTCTAATTACAAGACATCTTAACCAAACACCGAACTGAAAGGTCATCAGCATACATGAATAAGGAACATTTCCCTAGAAACCCGTAAAAATCCTTGTTTAACAGTTGTCAATGAATGGAACTCTCCACCAACAGACATTATTCAATCAGCCACTGTTAAAAAATTTAACACAAAATCCCCAAATTTGCATCTTTCACTTGTAGGCCTTGATGTATACATACTATAGTACAGTAGCATTGTACCACAAACTTAAATTGATAAAATAATTTTCGATACTTAACACTTTCCGGGCTGGTATAATGGGTAGTTGTCAATTCCCAGCTGACTGGCAGTTTTTGACTATTTTTGTAATTTTACTAAAAAATCTAGCTTTAAAGCTGATATAATGTTATTCTAATGTTATTACAAGTAACAGTCCCTCTTTACAATGTCATATTTCATCAAAAGGCAAAGTGTTCCTTTAATTCTTGAAATTCTGCTACAAAAATGTATGTTTTCCAGAGGGAAAAAGATCACATCTCTTTGTAGGTGCTATGACATGGAGGATTTTTTCTAAATAATTGAAACACTACTGCCACTCGTCAAACCTCTCCATTTTCTTATCCTGAGCCTTGAAACATGAAAACGAGCGGTGCTCATGCTTCATCGGCAAAGCATGGCATACTTAGATGTAGTCTGGTAAATTTTAAGATATTTTTCAGGAATTGCAAAAATACAAAAACCTTTTTTTATACAAATTAACTAATTCTTCCCAGTGTTGACGAACAGATATGTAGTTGGGGAAAAGTTAAAAAGATAGTAGTCATGTTTTAAGTTTAAACATATATTTTAAAGAACTGTGCATAAAAAGATAGTAGCAGTTAATAAAATAATATATTCCACAACTGCAAATGTGAACGAAAATTATTTCATACAGGTATCCAATTGACCTTTATTCCAGTTAAATAAATAATTTGTACTGTTGATTTTATTTTCATTGAATATTTCATAAAATCATAATCTGAGGATTTAAGGCAAACATTATCTGATATCCAACAAGGATTGGGACAAAATTGAATTAATGCGGCAATGCAAACCTACGTCTCATTTTTGTTTATTTTATTTTATCCCCTCCCTTCACCTTTCAAAATTTACATTCCAACAACAGAAAAATATTTAATTCTTAAAATAAAAATTCAATCAAATCAATCAATTTAATCAAAAAAATTCTTAAAAATGTCTTGAATTTCAAAAGCTGGCAAAATGTGAAAATGTTGAAATTGGCACTATTTTTCAGGTAAAGAAAACAGGAACCACAGATGTAGTTTTAGAGACACAGTTACAACACTACAAGCACAGTTACAAGGAATGAATCCTATAATAAAGCCCTCCAAACATACAAATGAAAAGAGTGAAACAGCAGAGAGAAAGGTGGAAAACAACAAATCAACCACGTCATTCACAGTTAACTGTTTTTGACAAAAATAAATAACCCTGCTGTGTGACAATGGCAGTAACATGTGAAATCCAAGCATCTGGCAAGAATCCAAACTGTTGCAGTCATATGAAGGAAATTGTCTTACCTGGATTTACTTGAAGCTGATTATACACAGCTCTGACAACTTCTTCAGGAGATACGAAGTCCCAAAGACCATCACAAGCCAAAACCAGAAAATCTTCATCTCCACGAAGATCCACTGTCCTTACATCTGGTTCTGCAGTTACATATGGTTTGTACAAAATATCACCTAAAAAAGGTGCATACAATACCATTAATGGAAATAATGGTTTCAGACCAAAAGAAATTAATATAAGAAGTATTTGTACTTATAAACAAAAACTGCACTTATAAAACATTCATTTAATTATTTTAAACATCTGAAATTCTAGAATAATAAAATTAAATCATCAAATAGAAACTCCAAGAAAATTAGTTAGCACTTTGCTCATTCGATGGGAAATTTCTAATTGAGGAATTTTCTTTACAGTATAAGAAGTCATAGTAAAACTACAAACTTCTATAAGAAACATACCGATCGCTCTTGAAACAGCGAGTTGTCCATTCACTCGCCAAGTACCCCAATACAGGACACTACCTCCCATGGACTCAATACGATTCTTTTCATCCTGAAACACATTTGCATAATTCTCAAGA